GATGAGGACCGATGTGATGATTGATAGATAGATAGAATGATAGATACTAAAAACATATATGTGACTGCAAACGACCGGGTAGGCAGGCCTCTATATTTAATAATACTTGGTTGCCCAGTAACAGTCAGACCTATGATAAACAGGCAATAGAATGGTAAACAACAAAGTGACCATGGTTGCACAGGCGTTGAGTATCTCACGTGACTATATCGACATCACGCCATGTCCATAATAACAGACCTGCACTCAGTAGTCTTTGAGACTTATCCCTGCAGCTACACAACCGGAAATTGCCATGGTTTCGTTGGCTGGAGAGGGGGAATAATGAAGGGTTAAGGGCTCCTCTTAGTGTATCATCGAATGAGGACTTGCGAGGGATGGTACTGTCTGAGGGGAGCTGTGTGGGAGGCATGGAGGGGATATACTCCCGGTAGGGATATCCTTGGCCTGTAGGCAGAGAGGTCCTGGATTTTATACATAGTCATAGACTCAGACAGGACAATAAAATGAAATAATAATAATTAAATCTCACACATCGTGACCCATAAACCCCCACATCATCTTTTTCACGCAATAACAAAGCTTCAACACTTTGCGCTATCCCACAGTTGCAGCAAGATATTTTGTTCCTTTTACAGTCCCGAGTTTGGTGGTTAATCGCGCTTTACCAAATTTTGCCACCTTTTCACACGACGCTTTTGTTTGACCTCATCAATTGCAGATGTAATACTGTTTGACTTGGGCCCTGGGTTACTAGTGCTGTGCCGTTAAAAGCATCGTGTCTATAAAGATGCCGCATTTCAACGCCTCTATCTGGAGGGCCTCTATAGGAAAGCTGATAATCACAGAGCTCTTAGATTAATATCTCTTCTTCGCCTAGTGGTGTTCTTTCCAGTCCTGAGGCTATCGAGTCCTACTTTTTCGAAGGCCTAGATTCCTTACTCTAGTCGCCGCAATTATTTCGTCTACTAAGCTTTGATTATCTGTTTCTCTTCACAAAATATTGGTCCTCGGTGGGGCTATGTTAACTTCTACAGGCCATTCTTGCCTCAAAATTTTAAATCCTCCAGCTGAACCATGTTCATAGTCTTATCCTTCTGAGCTGGTAATCGAAAAAAAATCTCTGTACCGATACTCCTAATTTCCCTGATAGTATATGCTCCTGAAATGTGGTGTTATACCTTTCTTGTCAGCTGTTCTGTCTGCAACTTATCCGAACTTTCCACCCGTATAGGATTGAATTTCTCTAGTTTAACGTCCTATTTGGCATCTATATACAGATCCATGAAGACAGTAAGCCGCTTTGGTAAGGAAAAAAGCTTTCAACAAACAAATCCCGATATCCTGCCCCTCTGAGCCGACCCGGCTTAATGCTGAGGACCTTCCTTTCAACCACAAATTTATAAACTTTCCTCGAAATTCATTAACTCTCCCTTTCATCAGACCAACGTTATGAGAAATAAAATAAAGGAGACACCTCCTCGCTCGGCGTTGGTCGTCGAAGTGTTCGAAGAGTTGGCCCCAATGGTGTTACTGTTGTGGCGGGGATTGTTGGTGCCACAGGGGCTTCGACTACCTTACGTGGTCGTCCCGGCCCTCTTTTGAGTCCTTCAGCCTTCTTACGGCTGACCAAAGTGAATCCCTGATCATCAGTTGGTCAGACTGTTCGCGTTGGCGCTATCATAGGTTTTTCATTCCATATTTCCACAGTGCTTGACAACAGCTCCATGCGAGCCTTCTCCACACTTCCCTTGTAGACTTGGTAGGTCCGATACGCTGCTTTTTGCCACGAACGGTGCTCCTTACCGCAGCTCGCACAAGAAACCCCTTTCTTCGGACAGTCCCGAGTCTGGTAAACGCCTGCGCACTCACCGCATCTAGCTGCCTTTCCACACGACGCTTGTGTGTGCCCCCACTGACTGCAGTTATAACATATCTTTGGCTGGGCCCGTGGTGACCACACCTGCGCGGTGAAGAGCATGGAATTAATTACAAGCCCCTTTCAAACTACTTCCGTTTGTATTGCCTCTGACAGGAGGCTGACCACAATGGCTCCGCGATTGTGACCGTTTTTCTTAGATCTCTGATGTTCCTTCCCGTCATAAAGCCATCCTATTCTACTTATAACTAGGCCTCGAATTCGTGCCTTCGTCGCCATCTCAATCTCTCTGATGATGGCGTAGTTGTTGGCATCTCTGCCACCTTCAATTCTTGTCCGCAGTGGGACTCCAGAAATCTCGACTGGAAATTCTTGCCGCAAGATTTTAAATTCCGCTGGTTGTCGCATGTTAAGCGCCGCGTGTCTCTGGGACGCCGACTGGACAAACACCTTGATGTGGTTGCTCCGCATCTGCCGAATTTTATATGCGCCTTAGATGTGTTGTTGTACCTTGGATAGCAGCTCTTGTGGCTGCAAGTTTTGGGCGCCATCAATTCTTAGCCGGACCGCTGTTTTCGTCATTTGCGAAGCCACGACCGACGCGTAACTCCTTTATGTCGTCGCGCCCGATACCACTGCTGGTGCAGCTTTCCGAGCGGGATCCGCGAGGCTTTTCTTTACAACTTCCTCTAAAGCCATCATCCTCTCCTCGATAGGGTATTTCTTCTGGGAAATTTCCGTCCAGGCCCTTTTGTGCGCGTTGAAGGCCTTAACGGCCTCGTTCACGTCCTTCATTGAGGGTAGGTCCTCCTCATCCATCTCTCCCATCACGATTCGTCTAACCTGTTTTAGTAGTTTCCCCAGGATTTCGAGGTTTTTATTCTTTGGAGCTGTCTGCGCTCCGCTGCCATTGTTTTTTGTTTGTTGAGGCCATTGTCGCATTTTGCAACGCGTCGAAACCGCTGTATTTACCCACACTCACCACGTTGGAGCGCGGAAAGGGAAAACATGAAAGAAGGGTAACGAATATGAAAAAATGATAATTACTATGTCAAATTGATGATACGGGCAGCGTGGAGGGCTGCGCAGCTTTCTGGCCAAAATGATGTTTTTTCCTTTCCACCCGTATTGGTATCGCTGCTTTTAATATTGTGCGTGTCACGATAGAGGCGTATATTGGCTAGCACACGGGTCAGGAGTTGTAGTTTGAGCCGCCTTGTTGTAGAGCTCCTCATATCTCCTTTGAACGACCATTATCAAGACCAGCATCCTTCCTCTATATGTTTTGGCTTCACAGGAATCCCAAACGCTCTAACTTGTTCCATGAGTGCCATTAAGACATCGTCTACTTCCTTTATCGGTTCTGATCCTTCGTGAGAACCTACTTTCCTGACACTGTCCCTCACTCAAGTCATATAATCACTATTGATTTATACGCTGTAGCATTCTTCATCCAAAAGGATCTCATTGCTTCCTCTGTATGAATCTAGAGCCGTTCCTTTGCCTTTGTTGGTGGCCATTGTTGTCTCTAACCACAACGCGTCGATACCCTGAAGCCTCTACACGCGATAGCCCACACAGGAAACAAAAAATGGAAATTAACAAGGACTCAAGTAGATAATATCTTGCAACGAGCTTGGGGAATATAAAGTATGTAAATAATGTGTCATATCCAGATAGCTGAATACGCTATGAAAAAAAAAGGGCCCACACCCACATGCCAAGTTGCATCAAATTTAGATCGGTGAATATGACGAGATATCTTGAAAAAAACAATTATTGTAAATTTGTAGGTGTTAAAACGTTCGTGGAGCGTTGTGTGACATTTGTTAAAAAGTGCTCCTCTAAATTCGTGAAAACAATAAACATACTGGAATTTTTACTGACTCACAAAGACTGTCGGAACTAGCTGCTTCGTGTTTAGTACGATTGTGATAAGTTGCAAAGTATACATGACTAGTTCTAGCTGTGATTATCTGATCATAGCTCTCAGACCCATTTAAAGCTCCATTGGGAGGTGTAGGGTAATCTTATTCTCTAATCGGACATGTTAGTCTTGGAGATGTACAGTCTAACAGTTATCCCGGGCTTCCAACAGTTTTGTGGAGCCTCATTCCATTAATAAGGTGAAAGAACACTTAGATGAATGTTAGTAGGGCATTTCTACTCCTATTTTTGCCTATCTATTAGCTAGACTGTTATCTTGAATTCCTGCACGTCCAGGAACCCAACTTTAACTTATCTGCCCCTCCTGGATATAAGACTGTCGCTTTCTCGCCTTCCTAACCTATGCTGCGTCTAGGGAATCCAGAAAAACTGACTGTTATGACTTTGACGGTAGAGTAGTAAGCAATTTTCTTGAGAATTCTGTATGACCCCAAATACGGATGCGTTGTTTGCAATGCGAGTTGAAAGGAGTTTAACAGCAGCAATAATCCCATAGAGGGCAGCGTGGGCCTCTGCATGACATGGATCCCTGAGATTCGCAAGATAATTCTTCAGAGCTTGCCTCAATTCCATTTTAGAATACAACTTGTTCACTACTGGAGATAGTAAACGGAAATTTTGATCCATCTGGATAAATTTGGAAGTCACTTCTGGGTAGAGTTCTCCAAACGTTACGAACCCTATTAGCACTTATTTTATTCGACCCGAGAGGCCATCTATACAAACAAGTGAGCCTAATTTATTCTCCTCAATCATCCAATGAGGGGTTAGTCAGTGTATCAAACTACTCTGAAGCTAATATGCTTCTACATGCTCTGGAAAATTGAGACAAGGCAGGTAGCAAGAGTGAGGCCTTCCCGCGCTGGCGCAGAAGAGGTCGAGGATCTAGCCTAAGTGTAGGCTAATCAGCTCTGTAGAATATTTTGGTGAAAGCTATCCCGGCAACCTATATTCTATACACTTAGAGATGAGGCTGGCCAACAATACCCAATACAGATAACTTATTATTCATCAAGTAACCCGTGCCGCGCACATGACCTGTTGAATAACACTTGTCGATGCGGGACCTCTCGCAACCCCATGTTACGCTGGTAGCCTCGACAATAAAAGTCTACTATTTTGCTTGTAATTATCACCTCAAAATTCATCCAAAGATTAATAAATTAAGCCAAAAATGCTGCTGCTTGACTACCAGAATATCTTGATTCAATCTGTTCTTACAGAACGTTTATCCGGGTAAAACTTTCATAATGTTCGTTTCAGTCCACTTAACTGAAGATTTAGGGCATCTCTAGCTAGTATTGACCAAATTGTCTCGGATTTCGACGGAGTTACCTTCCATGTTTCCACACAGGACTCGAAATCAAAAATCCTGGTTTCAATTCAAGTATCATGCTTCGATGAGCTACTCGAGTACGGTGCGCAGCAAGTTCTAGAGAGGGAATATGGATCTTTGGTTGTAGCTCCAGAGACTGGATATAATTTCTCTATTCAAATTGACCTTGGGAACATTCCCGAAGAAAAAGGTCTTGTATTTACATTTTAAATAAGCTAAACCCTGGACTAATTTTTATCTCAGACGCAAGGGATGAATTGATTCGAAAAATATCTCTTTTGAAACGTAACGCAATGGCCGCACCTTTTGAACACGCATTTGATGAACATTACAGGCTGGCCGAGGAAGCATCAAAATTCACATCAGAAGAAGCACCGCAAGGAATCAAGGAAGGTGGTGCTATAAAATCTATCCATTACCGAGATGAAGAGGCAATTTATATTAAAGCTAGTTATGATCGAGTCACAGTAATTTTTAGTACCTTATTCCGTGAAGAGACCGATCGAGTCTTTGGAAAAGTATTTATTCAGGAATTTGTGGATGCAAGGAGAAGGGCTATCCAGAATGCCCCACAGGTTCTATTTAGAACTGATCCCCCACTTGAACTCCAAGGTGTACCAGGCTTCAAAGATAATGGAAATGGAGAAATTGGATACGTTACCTTTGGTATGAATAGAAGAATTCGGATAGATTTCAATCAATTAATCGGAACAGTTCTCTTTCCTAGGCACTTGACTAGGCAACGACGAGAAGAAGTTATCTCTCATATTCAGACTTTCCGTGACTATTTTCATTACCACATCAAAGCCTCTAAAGTACGTCTCTAACTTTTATTCTTTAAATAAAACAATTGCGAAAGCTCACTATTAATAGGCTTACATCCACACCAGGATGCGAAGACGCACTGCCGATTTCCTCCAAGGTAAGTACTTGAGTTATGTAGATAACTGCTAATATGTACTCAGTTCTCAGAAGGGCCCGCCCAGAAAACGAAGAAAAAGAGAAAAAGACTGCCAGTGGTCGTTCATTTCGGGTTCAGGGCGTTTAGATAAATATTTTCAGCCACAACTGACAAGCCAAAGTCACTTCTCAAGATATATGGTCACACCCAAACGGATGAAATTTATCTTCTTAAATTCTCATTTGTTGAGATCCTCTACCGTATAATTTAAAAAAGGTTGTATTTATCTTCTGAAAAATTTCGTTAGGGGATTTGCTTTAGTATGATGCTGATCCCCATGTTCCCACTAAGCTTTCAGGCAACACTTCATCTCTACAGAAGTTAGAGATCTGGCAATTCTCAAAGTTATGGCACGTTTAACATGGCTTTCTTTCATCCTTGTATTTCATGGATCGCGACAAATTAAACATGTCTACAGTGATGTGCGCTGCAGACCAAATATTTAAGGTGTTTGAGGCAAGCCTGAGTGGGGGAACTAATGAATCCCTCAATCATACAGCGGCGTGTGAATAGAAGTTGATAAGCGCCCAGGAAAGACAGCCAATTTCAGCTGAAAAGTATATGTTAAACAGTACCATGCACCGTAGGGAGTTCCAACACTCAAATTTGAAGTTGGATGCATACGGCGAGTCCATAGAAAAAAATCTCTCACGCAAATCTGAAGCTTATCTGAACAAATTATGATAGAGGACACATCTTCATGACTATTCGACCTAAGATTTGCATCCATATATTCCATCCTCAAATGGTCTGCATTATGATAACGATAGTGAAGCCGCTCAGAACGCTCAGTTCTAGCGTTGATTTCCAATTCATGAGTAGCGGTCACCTCTTAATTTGATGCGACATGCATAAATACTTAAGTAATTTGTATTTTATTCTTCTGGAGTTGAATTGTATATCTATTTTCATATAAAGATTCTGATCGAATGTGCACGTGAAGGTTCCGTCTACACACAGACTGAATTCTCTATGATTCGAGTAGCATTCTCCTTCCTATGGCTTCTTTCCATTAATAACAACTCAAAAGACCTTCATTTAAGCAGAAATTTAGAGCAGCCACCATTCCATCATTGTCTCTCCTATATAGCCGATAAAATATTAGCTATTTGCGGACGATAAGCTGCAATGAAAAGAATTAAAAACCACTGGATGCAGAGCTCTCCTTATACGAAGAGGCCGGTCAGCCGGTTACAGCAGGTCTTTGTATAAATGAGAGCTCCTTTCAACCTCCTCGGCTAACCATTTTCTTCCTTCCTGGTTCGTGGCGCAGAATAAACTGTAGGTCGTGGAGTTATGTCAGAAAAGTCTTGATGGAGAGATCTTACCTGCAATTATCTTATGATAGCGTCTTAAAGTCGCTATGGACGTTAAATTGTATAATAGCGTATGGTTTTGCTACTTCTCTGGCTAGTAAATTCGGAATATTGTTACAATCTTTAAGTTTGTCGAAGAGTAAGAATTTACTTTTATTCAGGTCGGAAGTACCTTTTACTCCGCTCTTTTGGGCTTCTGTTGGTAAAATGGTGGGTAGCTTGCGTCAGAATGTGACAGAGACTGATATAACGACTGTTGTAATCCTAGGTACAATAATATCTCTCCTCTTCATCAGCGTGATTATTATTGTAAGTGTTATTGGAGGCGCATCCTTGAGGGAATTGTAGATGATTCAGCTCGAATTTGGAGAGGTATTATTCAATATTGGCTCTGAAGACTGTTTGGATACATCTGTAGGGTTCCAAGGAACACCGCTGATAAGTGTTCAATTTTCATCCCCCCATTCTTTTTATGTGCATATTGGCTTCAGCTTTTTTAAGACCAGCTACTAGTCCGGTAAATCGTTGTTTGTGAAGCACTGCTAGATTGTAGAATTTTCAGATCAGGAGTAATACAGTCTTAATACCTGAAGGTATGAGTTCAGATAATTGAATATCGAAAGCTTTTGTTTTTGACAGGTTATACTTTCTAGGCGCTTAAATTTGAAAAATTGATGCTACCAAAGGTTTATAGTGATTGTAAACCTTTTGATGAGTTAATTCGTATAAAACAAGGTAACTTATGTGCAATCTGACAATTTGTTCTTGGTGTCCACTGCTGCGTAGTGTAGGTTTTGGTTGCGATCTCTAGGTGACTAGTGGGACGCTAGGCACAAAATAGCAAAAGTTGACTCGCTATCAAACACCAGCCCGCCCTCGCATTTTCTTTGTCAACCAGCAACTCCAACATGTCTGATGCTGAATTTGAGACGATCAGAAAGCTTCAGGTAGAGCGCAATTCTGCTATCGCTGCAAAGAAAGGATCATCAGCGATCGATTTCTCAACTCAACGAACTGATTCTTCGACCAAAGCCTCACTGACAGATAGTTTCGACACCACTTTATACGATCGCGAAGGTGTCGATAAGTTCGAGGGATACAACTCTTCTATACCAGCTGCAGATGGTGATGAAGATGATGAAAAAGATGATACTACCAATCGGCTTATTGGCCAATATACGGGATCTAAAGATCAGATAAATGAATTTTCCCATGGTGCTGGAGTTGAAGAAGAAGATATACTACTAGGTCGAGAGAAAAGTGCACGTATTTCTGACCGTGAAACTGATTATCAAAAGCGTCGTCACAATCGAGTCTTGACACCTACAAGAGCAGATGCCTTTGCAACCAACGGGGAAAGCGAAAATGGAGAAAGTTATCGAGATATAATGGCGCGTAGGGAATTAGAAAGAGAAGAAGAACGGGTGAGGAAAGCAATAGAAGAAAAAGAGGCCAATGGTGAAGTTATCCACCACAAGGCGACTCTAACTAAAGAAGGAAGTCAATCCCCTACTGCAAATAACAAGAAAGACACAGAAAGCGAAGAAGCATCATCTACTGGGCGCAAGCGAAAACAACGTTGGGACGTAACCTCTAAACTTACAGAATCTCCCCCTGCTACAGATACGAAAGCTAAACGCTCCCGATGGGACCAAACACCTTCTATTGGAGTAATAGGTGAAGGTGAGACCCCTCGGCGACGTTCACGATGGGATCAGGCTCCAGCCGCTACTCCTATTGGGAATCAAGGCTTATCCACGCCTATGCACCCATCACAGATGGGCGGGCCTGTACTACCGACAACATTTGGTACAGATATTTCCATGAGGAATGCTCCTTTATCCGATGAAGACCTTGATATTATGTTACCCTCTGAAGGCTATAAAATTCTTGATCCCCCTCCTGGATACGCGCCAATACGAATTGCATCTCAAAAAATCATGTCTACCCCAACGCCGGCCGCAGGATACGGAGGATTTATAATGCAAGAGCCGGAAAGTGGAAGAAATACAGGGAAATCCCTTCCCAGTGAGATTCCAGGTGTTGGAGATCTTCAATTCTTCAAAGCAGAAGATATGGTATACTTTGGAAAGCTTACTGACGGAAGTGATGAAAATACAATGAGTGTAGAGGAACTTAAGGAACGAAAGATCATGCGATTGCTCTTAAAAGTGAAGAATGGGACACCGCCAATGAGAAAGACGGCATTACGTCAGCTCACAGATAATGCACAACAGTTTGGAGCTGGTCCCCTTTTCAACCAAATCTTACCACTGCTAATGGAAAAAAGCTTAGAGGATCAAGAACGACATTTGTTGGTGAAGGTTATTGATCGAGTTCTATACAAGCTTGATGAACTCGTTCGGCCTTATGTTCATAAAATTTTGGTTGTCATTGAGCCACTGCTCATTGATCAAGATTACTACGCACGAGTTGAAGGTCGGGAAATAATTTCTAATTTAAGTAAGGCAGCAGGCCTTGCTCATATGATTAGTATCATGAGGCCGGATATAGATCACGTCGATGAATACGTGAGAAATACCACAGCTCGAGCATTCGCTGTTGTAGCTTCAGCCTTAGGTATTCCTGCGTTACTTCCATTCTTACGTGCTGTCTGTAGGAGCAAAAAATCATGGGAAGCTCGACACACCGGTGTCAAAATTGTCCAGCAAATTCCGATCCTCATGGGCTGTGCAGTATTACCTCATCTCAAAGGGCTTGTTGATTGTATTGGGGGGAATTTGAACGATGACCAGACCAAGGTTCGGACCGTAACTAGTTTAGCAATCGCTGCACTTGCTGAGGCTGCAAATCCTTACGGTATTGAAAGTTTTGACGATATTCTCAATCCACTTTGGACAGGTGCCCGTAAGCAACGAGGCAAGGGTCTCGCAGGATTTCTTAAAGCTGTTGGATATATAATCCCACTGATGGACGAGGAATACGCCAATTACTACACTGGTCAAATTATGGAAATCTTGTTGCGAGAGTTCTCCTCTCCGGACGAAGAAATGAAGAAGGTAGTTCTCAAAGTCGTCTCACAGTGTGCTGGTACAGACGGCGTTACATCAGGGTACCTAAAAGAACAGGTTCTCGATGAGTTTTTCAAAAGTTTTTGGGTTCGACGAATGGCTCTAGATAAGCGAAACTACCGACAAGTTGTTGAGACTACGGTTGACCTCGGTCAAAAGGTCGGTGTCGGCGAAATCGTCGAACGAATAGTGAACAACCTCAAAGACGAAAGTGAAGCTTATCGAAAAATGACAGTCGAAACAGTAGAAAAGGTTATTGCAAGTCTAGGTGCAGCCGATATAGGAGAAAGATTGGAGGAAAGACTAATTGATGGAATCCTTCATTCTTTCCAAGAACAAAGCGTGGAAGATATAGTGATGCTCAATGGATTTGGAACTGTGGTTAACGCACTTGGAAGTCGCTGTAAACCTTATCTGCCCCAAATTGTTAGTACGATACTCTGGCGGCTTAACAACAAATCTGCTACTGTTCGCCAACAAGCAGCTGACTTAATTTCTCGTATCGCTATGGTTATGAAACAGTGTGGAGAGGATGCTTTGATGGGAAAACTAGGTATTGTTCTCTACGAATTTTTGGGTGAAGAGTACCCAGAAGTGCTAGGATCGATTTTAGGGGCTTTACGTTCAATTGTCACTGTAGTTGGTATCAGTCAAATGCAACCGCCGATTAAAGACTTACTCCCACGTTTAACTCCAATCTTACGGAATCGACATGAAAAGGTACAAGAGAACACCATCGATCTGGTCGGCCGTATAGCAGACCGTGGTCCAGAAAGCGTCAACGCCCGTGAATGGATGAGAATATGCTTTGAGCTTCTCGACATGCTCAAGGCACACAAAAAAGGTATTCGTAGAGCAGCAAACAATACTTTTGGTTTCATCGCAAAAGCAATCGGTCCTCAAGATGTTCTCGCCACTCTTCTCAACAATCTTCGTGTACAGGAGCGACAATCACGAGTCTGTACTGCCGTGGCGATTGGAATTGTCGCAGAAACGTGTGCACCTTTTACTGTGTTGCCAGCATTAATGAATGAGTACCGTGTTCCTGAGCTTAACGTTCAAAATGGTGTTCTAAAATCACTATCTTTTCTGTTCGAGTATATAGGAGAGATGGCCAAAGATTATGTTTATGCAGTCACACCACTTCTAGAGGACGCTCTTATTGACAGGGACCAAGTCCATAGGCAAACGGCTGCTTCGGTTGTAAAGCACGTTGCACTCGGGGTCGTTGGCCTTGGATGCGAGGATGCCATGCTGCACTTACTCAACCTTCTGTGGCCTAATTTATTCGAAACTAGCCCTCATGTTATTGACCGTATAATTGAGGCAATTATTGGGATTAATATGTCGATTGGACCAGGGCTCACCATGAATTATGTGTGGGCAGGCCTCTTTCACCCGGCGCGAAAAGTCCGTGTTCCGTACTTCCGCATCTATAATGAGATTTATGTACTTCAAAGCGATGCCATGGTCCCCTATTACCCGACTCTAGATGACGAGAAGATAGATAGACCTGAGCTGGCAATTGTTATATAACTTCTGGGAAACTGAACGGGTAAAAGAAATTGGAGTGGGAAAGGGGCGCTCGTAATTGTATCATACTGGGGCTAATGTAAAAGATATTAAATAACTATTCAGCATACTTAATGAATTCTCTATGCCAATCAATCACAGCATTTACCCATAAAACTGAGATTTATCACCTGAATTTTGGCTTACTTCCATTCATTGAGGTGGACTTTTCTCAACACCTGTCAGTGGTGTCCCCTACGAACCTCCAGCTCTCACCGTAGAGTCTGAAGAGCCGAGATTGGGTAACAAGGCCCATACTTCAATGGGGATTCCCATTCGCTTTCACTTTCGCGGTCTGTATCGTCTTCATCTCTCAACACATTCCCCTATCACCATTATCATGAAGCTAACCACGATCAAATCAGATGGTAGGGTCGGAGCCCTACTCATCACCAAACCTTGATCATGGAGGAAAAGCCATCCGATAAGTTTCCGGAGCGTGCCCAGCACCCGATACGGAGATGGTGGATTGGATCAAGTCGACCTCGACTGTTACAAAGAAGGGAGGTATAGATGAATATGCGCACCTCATGTGGTCCCGGTGTCTAGACCTCGCCTGGCTGGGGCTGCAGGTTTTTTGAGACTTGTTCCTGTGCACGCAGTTTCCATTGCTACCATTTCTATTTTTCATATTATTTTTGGATAAAAGGTTCCGTGGAAAAGGTGGACGAATTCCACGGGTAAACACTGAGCTAAATAGCAATTCATCATATGCAATATATCAATGATCTTGGAAGTAACAAAACAGGCAAGCAGCACTGTACAAGGTGTGGCCAGGGTTAGAGAGGAGCCCAATGTGATAGATAGTCTATGACTCAAGTAGTACAATAAAGAAGCGAACACATCAGTCTCACACACTTGCACTACGCCAAACCTTGACTCCCATGATTCCCCCGCTCTACTACAGATTTTATCAAAGTCTTTGTCAGATAATTGTTAGTAGTCCATAATTTTACGTGGGTATATCATGTGACATACTACCGTTGAATCTTTCCCGGAGCCTTGAAGAGAACACAGAATAACAAGAATCATTGACATACTGCGAGCAGTTACATAGTGAATACGCCTACCAATAGTTTCCGAAAATTTTTGTCGAGTAATTGTCCTGGCTGATATAAACTAAAGCAGAAAGGGACGACATTTTGTTCTCAGACACTTATTTCAAATAGTTCAACCACAATGAAGTCACTTATCGGTGAAATGGCTTGGATGATCAATTACTAGATTAAATTTTAGATGTTGAAACAAACGCATAATCTAACTCGAAAAATATCTCAACCAGATTCGTTCTCGTCAAGAATTATTTTTTAGGAATTAGGAATACTCTGCAAATAATACGACAAATTTTCTTATGAAACTGACACGAATCCACGTTTTCTTTCGCTGACTGCAGGCTTGAAAGTTTCATCATCAACAAAGTTGATGACTTCTTTGTCTCTTATTCGAGTACTGATGACTTTGATGGCGGCAATGTTAAATCCAATTTCCGATTTGTTTTTATTTAATAAACCTCTTAATTCTTTGCGGATTCTTTCTAGCATTGGCTTCATGAGTTTACTCGAAGTGATTTGACGATGGTGAACTTTTAGCATAAAGAAGAGAACCCTACATGTCAACGGGATATTCATCGATCTTGTCGCAAAAATTTCCAGAAATGTAAATAATGGAGGCACAGAAGCGAAAGGAAGCACCAAGAGTGCATCTTCTAGTTCTGCGGCTGGGATTTTGTTGATAACAGCTAAAACATGCTCTTCTGCACTAATTCCTCCTAATGCCATAAACAAAGGATCGCGAGATCGCGGTGCGATGTTTGGCTGTGTTGTCTGAGCAACTTCCCATTCTTTCAGAAGCTTAAGGTCTTCTAAGCCAATTTCGAGTGCTTGGACAACTTTCTCGCCAGCAGTGAGCGTCTCAATAGTCTGCTTCATCACTGTTCCCGTCTCAGTTTCATCTTCCCGCCCCAAGGACGTTGCCAGTGTACTTTCGTAGAGTGCTTCAAGTTCTTTTTCTTTTTCTTCCTCCAAGAAGATCTGTTCATCAGTTTGCTCCCAGACCCGAATACTTTTGTCGTGACTGGCACTTACAAAGAATTCACCGGTTTTACTTACGACTAAAGCCCATATTTCGCCGTGATGATTTTCGAGCTTTTGGATTTGCTCAAATTTATCACCATCCCAGTATTTTATGATCTTATCTTTACTGCAGCTGAAAAAATGATGTCCGTTTCCATCTTGGTTATGTGGAACGAACCCTACTTTGAGTATACTATCATGGTGAGCAAAGAAGGCTTTATGGCAATCACCAAAATCTAGCCCCCAAATTCGAATGTTCTTATCTGCTGAGCATGTTACAATTAACTTGCTGTCAAATGATATATCTAAATCTAGAACAGGTAACTTGTGTCCATATAAGTTCAAAAATAATTTTAAAGAATCGACAAAAAACACTTTCACTGTGTTATCTAATAGAGAAATTGCTAATAAGCGCGAGTCTGGAGAGAAGCGAAGGCTCAAAATATCGTCGGTAACCTTTAGAGTGCGTGTATGAGATAAACGTAAGCTAGGGGTAGTTCTTTTAGTACCAGGAATTTCTTCTTGAACAATGTTGAAACTCCAGAACTTGGCTGATTTATCTGCGCTCCCTGATACGAGTGATCGACCATCAGGATGGGTTTGTAAGGCCCATATAGCACCTTCGTGTGCTTTGACACTATCTAACATTACCATAGACACCATATCGAATAGTTCTAGTTCACCGGATTTTGTACCAACGACCATAACCTTATCACCTGGCAAGAAAGCACAGCATAAGGCATATCCACATTCAAAAGAGCGGATACAAGATCCTGTTTTAACATTCCAAACTTTGAGGCCACCGTTGGAAGCAGATGCCAACATCCGGTCATCCGAGCTAAGTGAAAGTGCTCTAATATCTGCTCGATGCGCTGGTGACTCGACAGAAATAACCCGTGTGTAATCTGGTGGCTCTTCATTTTTAGGCTTGCTTAGCTTCTCTTTTGTTGGCAGACTAAAGACCTCAAGCTGATTATTTGTTGTAGCCACAAGGAGCTGCATATTCTTCGAGCGTTTATTCTTCATCCAACTTACCGAGCGAGCCTTGCCGCTAGTGCGTACGACTACATATGACACAATTATTTCAGTTAAGTTAACGCTTGTTAAATCCTCAGATTCATGATCTGCGATTGAATCATTGGTATCTCCTTCTCGTCTTTTTCCTTCTGCAGTCTGCTTCTCCCTCTTTCTTTTGCGTTTCCGTGAGAGAGATTTTTTAACTTCATCCTCTGATCGGATTCTCCAAATCTCAATCGCCCTTTCGCATCCATGAACCATGAAATAATCCTGACTCGGGTGAAAGATAATCTCTTGAGTTCTTTCCCTTCCCTGACACCGAAGAATTCCACGGCTTTGAATAAAATCCTTATCTTCAGCCGTATTTGATTTTTTTAGATTCTTTAGAAGTCCGGCGCAATCGATAGACCATACAGTTAGTTCACCATCATTTCCGGCAGTGATACAGCCAGCTCCATCTGGAAAAACACCCAATGACCAGCATTCACCATTGGTTTGTGCGACGTGAGTCTCTATGCAATGTTGGGCCTCTACATCCCAAAGCTTAATGAGTGCGTCTTTGCCGGTGGTAAGTAAATATCTCTCGGAACTAATTGAGTCATTATTTGGACTTAGTTCCTCACCGTCTTCTGAAATTTTTTCTTTGTCATCTAAACGGATAAAGTAGAGTCCAGTAATTTGATCCTTGTGACTTCTGAGTTTGTATAGGCCTACTTCAGCGATCACGTCCCAAACAATCACATCTGTATCTTTTGAGCCGCTTGCAAGTCGAAATCCCGAACTGTCAAACTGTAATGAGGTGATAGCAGAGCGGTGGCCATTAAAGACGACAATCACTTTCGAGATTTTAGAGTCCCAAATTCTGATACTTCCGTCTTCGTAACCAACAGCAAATACATCTTGGTCGCTTTTACTCGAAGCGATTACAGTAACCCTTGAGTTATTATCTTCATCTTTCCATCGACTCAAGAGCTCTCCTTTCTTAATGTCCCAGCAGAAAACTTCTTCATTTGCAGCAGTTATAGCGCGGCCAAATCCCGTAGTCCTCGACGCGTTGGTCTCGTTGTACCAGAGGACGTTTGAAGTACTTGAACTTACAACTCCAAAGACTTTCGACTGCTCGTATTTTCTAGAATTTAAATTATTAATTGATCATATCCCTCTGTATTGTCTGAAACTCACAAATAAGATTTGACCATTTTACATGATGGCTCGATGAGTTCGCACAAGAATTTTTTTTATCCAAAGATAATAGTAATGATAAGATATTATGCAACCGATTATCAATTTAAAAAATAAGCGGTGTGTGACTAGGGTGCGGCACCGATGGCCAATTGGTCTATTAATTTTTTTCTTAATTTTTTTTGTATTTACCTATAATGCTACGACAATTTATCTATTAATTACACAGTGGCAAATCTAAATTTCTTAACCCTCCCTTACTTCCGCTTGCTCCAATAATTAAAGTACCAATTTGTTGTGTTTCTAGTTGATCTTCTTTCTATGCATTTATACACTTTGAAGCCTGTAAAATCTTTAGCTATGCTTCTTTCCCCCTTTTTGTTCGGAACAAGATGGGGAGGATTAATGGCTCTATATCAGTAGATAATTCCTTTCTTTCTTTGGCACAGTTTTGACAATGCAGTATCAAATGTTGCATGGTCTGCCTCCCATTTTTACAAAAATTACAGGTCACAACTTTGATTTTCCCAATTTTAAATAAGCATGCTCTCATATTGTTAGAGTTTAGAATAATTGGGGCTATCAAGTAGGCCACGTTGTTGGTACACACGCGACTACAAATTCTGTAGCTAGTTTCACTTCGGTAGTTACTTGAATCAATGCGCTCTACAACCTCAATGCCTGAGGGGTCATAATTTCCTTAATAAATACTGCCAATACCTGTCTTTACCCGAAATTATGCTGACTCAGTATTCCGGTTGTGACCTTGTAAATTCATAGGTTTGGCTGAGAAAGTTGGTATTGATATCTGAGCCTGGATCCTATAAAACTTGCCTAGACCCTTACTTTTCCTCCCTTCCTCCTCGTGAAAGAGCTCAGAAGTCCAGTCATGAGTCCATGCTTCAATTATGAGCTCCCTAACCCTTTGTGTCAAAAATGAGTATGTAGTGAACTGATTCCTTCTCATAATCTACTTACTGCCAGCTCCCATGGCTAATCTATCAGCAAGCTCATTTACCTCAATGCCTACATGTCCTGGGCACCAAGAGAGAAATTGGCCTATTCATTTGGCTATAAATGTAGTCTTAGTAATGTCGGGGGCGTTATTTATTTTTTTAATTCATTTTATTGTCCTGTCTGAGTCTTTGACTATGTAGGACATGCAGGTCCTCTCTGCCTACAGGCCAAGGATACCTATACCAGTAGTATATCTCCTCCTATGCCTCCCATACAGCTCTCCTCAATCAGTACCACTCCTCAGAAATCCTCATTCGATCATACACTTAGAGGAGCCCTTTGCCCCTCATTATCTCCGCTCTCCAGTCAACGAAACGATGGCCATTTGCGGGTGTATGGCAGCCTGGAATAATCGCAAAAACCACTGGGTGCGGAGCTCTTCCAATACCGACATTAGGAATAAATACGAAGACATATTGCCCCTTCTGAAGCGTTCGAAGAGGCCGGCCAGCTGGGCGCTGCAGACTTGTGGGTACCTCGGGAAATTCACCCTCTACCCTTCTAGCCTCCTTCCATCTCCTTCCCGAAGGTCGTGCCGAAATGTCAGAAAAGTCTTGACAGAGCGTGATTGCTGTATAGTAGCTTAGCCCGACTCCTTTTGTACCATCCAGGGGGCTTGGGAGTGCCGTTGACTCATCGACAAAAGAAGCCCTCCTGGCTAATAAGCCAAAGTCTTGGTCTTGGCGCCCACAAAAGATCCAAAGTTGAAAACCCCTCAATAGTATAGGTCGCAGCATGGTCATCAAAGACTTGTTCCCCTCTCGCTCCACATCTCAGGCGCCTGTTCTCCTTAAAGTTGTTTGTCCCATTAGAGCAACAGTCCCCCATAAGCCAAGACTCAGGCTTTGTATTTGTCGACTTGATTTCCTCCTTGCGGGTGTAAATAGCGTCGTAAATATGTAGTGAGAAATAGCTGGAAATTAATGGGGCAAGCTCCTGTATGCAATTGGAGCAACTTCTTCATTGGTCGTCGAAGCGTGATCATGTGTGATTAGAGAGAGGTTGAAGACTCAGATAAGAATGGTAAGAGAGGCATTGTCGAGAAGTCGTCAAATGGAGATGTGCTGGAGGTTGCTTTCGACTTCGATTCGGATACGATTCTTCTTGGCTATCTCAGATATACAGAGCATACAGAGCCATTACACCGGCACCACTGGAAGGTGAAGAATTCGTCTTTACCGGCCTCTCACGTCCATTGAACCATGGCCTGTGACAGTTCATACACAGCAGTCTTAACAAAAGGAGTACTAATTGAGAAGAGGATTTACTTAGTCGTACCTGCAGACTTGATTAGACTTTTTATTATTATCTAATGTCATGCTAGCTCAGTTTACATAAACTACCCGACGTGCCGATACCTTTCAATAAGCCCGACATGTTATAAATGGGCCAAGGCCTACCTGCCATGCACCCCGAACTATCGAAAGAAGCCAAAAGTACTCTCGATCTGAGACTTTTGTATTCTAATACAATAGAGAAGATAGTTATATACATGAAAAGGAAAGTTATCCATCACCTAGACCGGAAGTCTTCAAAATTTAGCTCTATCAAATACAGGCCAAGTGCATATAATTTGGGGTACTAGTTAGTCTTGTTGTTGCATGCTTCAAAAAAGCTCGTTTCATGAAGCCATTTACTAAAAGCTATGGCTCCTTCAGGTGAGCCTTGGATCCAGCGAATTCCCGTCGTTGGGTGTTTATTTCCGCTGCAAAGGCGGGAACGACTCCGATTGAGTCTACAAAAGAAGAAGTGCTCGGGCGACTTTTCTAGCCAGCAAGCGCAGATTAGAAGAGCGTCCGAGTGCTGAAAGCGGCGGTGGTAGTCAGCAAAGTCTCCATGGCCTGAGCGAGCTGCAAGAAGGCGACCAAGAGCGTAGCGGTTAAGGCTCTTGAGTTCGGGGGAGCTCCCAATATTGGCGTTAATTCCCAGTTTTTTGTATCGTTCAGGAGCGTTTTGAGACAAGTACAGGGATACAGAGACTTTGTATCGAGAGATTATGTCTCTCTTTGTTCGAGAGATTGTTGGAGATAGGGGGAGCGTAGGGGTTGCGCATGCTTGTTTAGCAAGTGCGTCAGCAGCTTCATTGCCCGGTATGCCGACATGTTCTGGACACCATCGCACCCTGACTACACCTGGTTTAGAATAATAGCTATGTTCTCTTTCTATTCATCTGGTAGCGAGGTGTCGGAACCTAGCGATACGAGAGGAACTGCCTGGGGAAGGAGTATCTACAAGGAGACGAAGGGCGGCTTCCTGATTATCTAGGCAAACCGTAATATTTGTGGCATATCGAGCCATCGGATTATGGAGAGCGGCACTTAGGCCTTCAGTGGCCCTTGCTATTTCTGCATCGTACACTTCGGCAGATTCTCCGAGAGGAAGAGTCCCCTGCCCAACTATCTGTGTGAGGCCCCGATAGATAACATATCCGGACCCGGCTCTACCCTCTGAAAGGGCACCGTCAGAGAAAACGAATAGATCCAAAGGCGCTTGAGATGCTTGCCATCTCATGAATTCCTTCCGGCGATTTTTTCTGCCTATAGCCCCGGTATTTTGCATAAGTAAGTCGTGACTGGTATTCCATGGGGGTGGTATTGTATCAGTTGATAGTTCAGGAGATGTTCTTCGTCGGATCCACATCATTCGGGAGGAAGTCCAGCGCCGCCGTAAAGGGTGACGTGGGTCTGCTGACGCGACTCGCACTGTAAGGCGGTCGTGTATCCGTTCTAGCTATGAGCTATCCGTTCACCATCCGGTCTCTCGAAGAAGGGCAGGAGTCGGAGTCGTTCGGTAGACAGGAAGGACGGCTCTAGCAGCATCATTAATTCTGCACTGAACACGCCTTATAATATCCTGTGGGGTACTTTTGGAATACCATGTCTCAGCTCCAAAGAAGAGGATAGTGAAAGCCGTTCTTTGAATAGCTTGCCTGAGAAGGGGAGGGCTGATACCGCGGGTGGTGCACGAGAGTCGTCTAAGATGGCTTGTGATGGCTAGAGACTTTGTACAGGTCTCACTAACATGATATCGGAAGCGAAGACCACCTTCAAAGTATACTCCGA